AAGAGTGTCAGTGAAACAAGTCCTGTACCAACATGGGCTGAAAGGACGCGGCAGGGAGGAACCAGTACTCCAGTACAACTTAACAAAACAGTTTAGTTTGAAGACGGACCTTCGTTTTAGGAGTCATGTCCTGTGGTCAGACAAAACTGAGATTGAACTGTGTCGCCATATGACCATCGTTACATTCGAAAGAGAAGGGGAGACGCTTGCACCTTCTCAGCAGTGAGGTATGGAGGTGGAAGCATCATGTTATGGGGGTGTTTTGCTACAGGAGGGACTAGTGCACCTTACTGACTAGATGGCTTCATGAGGAAAGAATGATGTGGAAATATTGAAGCTACATCTCGACATGGGCCAGGAGGTTAAAGCTTGGCACGAATGGGTTCTCCAGATGGGACAGTGACTCCAAGCATGATGAAATATTAGTTACAAAGTAGCTAACAGACAACAAAGTCCAAGTTTTGGAGCAGCCGTCACAAAACCCTGAGCTCAGTCCCTTTGAAATTTTGTGGGCTGAACTGAAAAGGTGTGAGACCAAGTCGACCTACAAACCTGAGCAACCTGCTGAGAGAAGCTTGTGGAAGGAAACCAAAGTTTCACCACCGTCATACACTTTGAAGGCAACGCTGCAAAATACTAAGAAATTACATGTGGTTTTAAGTAACAACTTAGAATAATAAAATAATGTTCTTAAAAAAGATGTAGGTTTCTCAGATCACACTGTTGGTTGCTTTTCAAACTCTCTCTCAGGTCGGAGGCAATGTGTTCGAAATAACGGTCACTAATGGGGTGCCACAAGGCTCAGGTTTAGGACCCACTCTTTTTACAATCTATACAAGTAATGTAGGTCAAAACATTCTTGACGCCTCCTTACATCTCTGTGCCGTCGATACAATTGTTTATTGCCGAGTTAACACAGTTGCCGAGGTTTCCCAGTTTCTACAGTCTGCATTCATCATCCAGTCAGATTTGTTCCATCTCAAACTGGTGCGAAATGCTGACAAACCCAAAGAGATTGTTGTTTTCAAACAAGTTGGTGCCAGCAGTCCTTCCCATCTCATCCATGCTTGGTGTTCCTATTGATTCTGACTAATCTTAAGTGGACTAAATAGGAAAGGTTTGGACTGATTTAATGCCGGAAAGTGAGAGGAAAAAATAACGTGACTTTTTACAGTGTATGCAAATATTTGGTTTCCACTGTATAATGAAAAACCTTGAAGGCAACACTCACACATTAGCAGCATCCCTGCAGATTACTGCCACCCATGAGCTCACATCTCTGGTTTGTTTCTTTAGGATCTGGGACGTGTAGTTCAGCGAGCAACAAGTTCCTGATGGTTACATCAGGCTGCGTCTGCAGCAAGAGGACGCGTTCGCAAACAGCACATGGAAAAAAATATGTCTGGTTTAGGTGGCTCTGATGTAAACAGCCAACTCTCATGAGTTCAGTCACAGGACATGCCTGCATGTCGCTTACTGTACACAAGGTTTATGCAACACCTCCCTCTCGTCCTTCTTTCTTTCAGGAGCCAGTTTGGTGGTAGTGGAAGGAATTGCCTCATGGCTGACTCACGGTCAGGCTACAGCTCTGATGGTGACCCCCAGAGTTCAGAAAACAAAGACAAGCACACACAGATTACAAGATCCGAAAGTGTATTTGGCATTTTACGTTTCCTAAACAAGTGCAGACATTTACAGCTAGAAGCTTCTGTTCAGATTTTAATCCGTGGTTTAACCAAGAGCCCAGGTCAGCTCCGTCCTGTTAGACGGAGACTCTGTGTGGAGCTGAGGCACACAGAGAAACACAAACATGTCCGTCAGGAAGAGTCCGCTACATAACTTTATATGTTCACAACAAAAACACCAAGTAAGAAAAGAGAAAAATACACTTTCCTTGAGTCCAGCACGTTTGTCACCAGATTAATTAAAAAAAAAAAAAGAAGTTTGAGAAAAGAGGAAAAGCTCAGTGGTTTTAAGTTGGGATGCACCGATCCACTTTTTTTTACTTCCGATCCGATCCCGATACCTAGAACTGAGTATCGGCCGATGCCGATCCAGTTCCGATATCATGATCATTGATTTTATATGAGGCTGTAATAATCTGCTCTCAAGTACAATTTGTACAAATATATGCATGCATGTCCAAAAAGGCAACTTGAGGTGTAAGTTTTATTAATGTTGGATAAGTTTTAAAGTTAGAATTAAATCCTGCTAACACAAAACATGTTTCTTTTTATTCCTAGTTTTAAAGTGGATATTAAAGTGATTAATTTAAGTGATTGTTTAAAGTTGTTTTATATTTTATAAGGGGCAGATAAGAATTTTTTCTTCTTCCTGAACTCTTTTCATTCAATGTTTTCTTTTTGATGATTTTTTTTTTATTTGTTTCATTTAAATGAATAAAATAATTAAATAAAATAAAATGTTAAATGGCTTCAAACATCTGCTAAGTTCATGGCATAAACCAACAGACATGTTCCAGTTTTTAGTATTTTACATCACTTTATAATGTAGCTGTTTATGTTTTTAATATATATAATTTTCAAATCATATGTTTTTTATGATTGTCTACTGTTGTACTGATAAATATCTCCTGGAGGGTAAACTAGATCTTGGCTGCAAGTA